GTGGACACTTCTTATCTGAATAATAAACACTGTTTAAGAAATAAAAATGAGGCGACTAATACAGATAAGCGTCCTCTATAATAACATTTGAAGTATTAATAGATATATACATGCATACATATATATCTGTGTGTGTGTGTGTCTGTGTGCGCTTATATATATATATACATACATAGATACCTATACACACACACACACACACATATATATATATATATATATATATATATATATATATATATATATAGATATATATACACACACACACACATATATATATATATGTATATGTGTGTGTGTGAGCACTAGGGTGAGTACGTGCATGCGCATCTCTTTGTATGCTTACTTTCATTCTTTTCCACTCTGTTTCTATAAAAATGTTAAACATTTTCTGAAAAACAATCTCTCTCTTTCTCTCTCTCTCTCTCTCTCTCTCTCTCTATCTATCTATCTATCTATCTATCTATCGCTCTCTATATATATGCATACAGGAGTAAATATTTATACCCCCATTATATATATATATATATATATATATATATATATATATATATATATATTCATTCTATTATATATTTTCTTTTAAATCTATTTCGTATTATTATTTTTGTAAAGAGCCTACCAAGAGAGGAAATTCGAGAAAGGAAATTTATAATAAAAATATACTATTTTAGGGGAAGTTTTGACTCTTTAAAACCTAAAAGTAAAATCTAACGTAGACATTATTTTTTTACTTCAAAGGAGGTGGGCTCGTACTGCTCAGCCCCCCCCCCCCACCAACCGCCAGCTTGAGACTGGAAATGCATACATTTCGTTGATACGAAACCACTTCTCACTTAGCAATCGTTCGTAAAATGATACTATTCGTTTTGAATAAAAATGAAAAAGCAAGCAATTTTCCAAAATATTTTAGTTTATATGCAAGTTTTATTTCTTTTTCTTTCTTTTTTTTTTTTTTTCATAACGAATATTTTTTTCTTTTCTTTTGATTCTTTCTCTTTAAATAAATATATTTTCTGAGCGAGACATAATATTTCAATCCAAGAGTGCCCCGGTTAACATTTCTAGGATTTGCAATCTTTCTATTTTTTCCTCTTCTTAAATAAATTGCAGCAATGAGAAACTTTCTGCTTTCTTTTTTCTTCTAAAAGTTTTTTTTTCTTTTAAGAAATAATTTAAACATACTCACACCCCACACACCCTAAAACTGTTCATTTTTGTACAAGTGCTCATAATTCAGTTGTAGGTTACAGGAAAGAAGAAATAAACATTTGATATTACTGCAAAGCTACTCAAAAGCCTCACCAACACAAATGTGGTTAGTTTTATTGCAAATCTTCTATTTTTATGATGTTTGAATTTTGGTAATGGATAGGGAAGTGAAGATTTCAAAGATTTTCGAGAGACCCTGTTTTGTGATTTATTTTATTTATTTATTTTTTAAATAAATCAAGTTTAATGAAGAGAAAATAGATGTAAAGAGACGAATTCAAGCAAAAACATGCAACTCTTTTTTTTTCAGGTAAATCACGTGATCATAGTGAGTGCAAATCTTTTGGCATATGACGTCATTCATGTATGCGTTAAACATGATAGCGTATGTTTGATTTCGTATTTTTTTTGTTTAATACAAAATACTATATTTTTTTCAGCGATAATCACTTTTGAAAAAATATAGTTACAAATCAGTGTCAGATATGATTGACGCAGAATTAATAATTTAAGATTTGTGAAATAGAATGAAACATTTTGTTTAAATATTAGGCGTAATAATGTGAGTGAAAATGAAAAAGCATATTTGTTTTTTAAATCATAGACTTCTCTTTAATTTGCTTTGTTCGACTGATACCAAATCACAGATATTGTTAGTCTATCTTCTAAATAAATAAAAGACAAATTCTGTCCGTTCGTGTGTCTGAAACCCCTCTAACACGGGACACACTTACTCTACATAGAGATATTATACCTTTTTGAAATCAGAATGATCCCGGGATTCAAAATCTGGCCTTCAAGTGGTGCTTGAACATCCAGCACTAGGATTTGTGTTCAGATGAGGAGGGAACAGTTAAAAATATAAATTTTAAAAAAATAACTGGAAAAAATTACTGATTTTAAAGTTTTTAATTTCTATTGAGTTTAAAGTAACACAAAAACTTTCTGGATTTTAAAAAAAAATTGTTTTAAATTCTGTTTCAAATATATCGAACATTTTGTGAATTAAGGAAATCAATTTTATTTCTTCAAAATTCCAAGGAATCAGAGATAAAGTAAAATGTTTCGTAACGTAAAGTTTTGAAGTTCCGCAGAGTTTGTGATTTGAAGAACTTAACTCAATTGAAGTTTCACGGTGTTTGTGATTTGAAGAACTCAATTTTCGGCTTGAATTGGAATTTCGGCCCAAAATCGGACTTTCGACCCAAAATCGGACTTTTGGTCCAAATCGGTCGAAATTAGGTTAAAGTAAGGTTTTGAAGTTTCATGAAGTAAACTGGAGAATTCAAAGGTATTTCTTCAAAATTATCATTGATGTTTTTCTAAGTTGAACCAGAGGTTTATTTAGTTTTTGGCCTTCCGCCGGGGCCTAGCTTAAAAGTTCGCACGGGCTAGTTATTAATAAAACCTAGGCACTCAACGTAAATCCTGTTTCGTCTCGTTAATGTAGATTTTGTTCTTGAAGAATATCTTTGTTTTTTGTCATCATGATGCCGGATAATCAGTGAAACATGTTAAAGTAAAAATATTGTTAAAATTATCTTGCATAACAGTATTATAAACGCACTTGTACTACACCGTAAGAACTCTGATCACAGTCGCTACTTAATAAATACCAAACTGATCCGGAGAGAAAAGAAGAAAATGCATTGAGAGTGCGCTTATCTAAAAAATCTTGGCAATAAACCTAACACCAGGACCTTACATAATATCACCGATCATCGCAACAGTAATAGTAGCAGAATGTGGTATACGATCTAATAGAGAGAGAAAAAACACAAAAAAAAAAAAAAAACCAAACACAAAAAAAAAAAAAAAAAAAAAAAAAACAGATTTACTTGGAGTGGGCTGATTAAGAATCCAACAATTCAAATATATAAAAAAAAAAAGTATGTAAAAAGCAACCACCCCCAAGAATCCGAAAAAGCATGGAAAAAGCAAAGAAAACTTTTTCTGGTTTCTGATTGTTGCATCTGATAAGCTAATTTAATTTATTGTCCTTGTTTTCCTTAAATTTCCAACGCATTATCTTTTTAGAGGCAGTCTTTTTTTTCTGAATCTCTAAAAAAGATCGCTTGAGGAATCTTAAAAAAAATGAAAGATGCTAATGAAATGTATCGACTCGTAAGATATACTCATCGATGTTGTGGTTTATAAAAACCTCAGCATCGAAGGTTTGTCAGAAGACGAATAAATAAAAATAAATAAAAAGCCCGTCATTAACGCAGTGGAAACGCCTGCACAGGCATAAATAACTCGGACCTTTCTGTGATAGTTTTTGAGTCGATAGGCACAAACACACGCACGCGCGTTCTTACCGCATAATGTGCTTATATGCAGCTATTTTGAAAATGAAAAATTGAGATAAAAATTAAAAGATCGATTACAGAAGGTCGTTAATAAGACAATAAAAAATGCGTAGCAGATAAGAGCAATTGTTTGCGCATCGGAGAGTGGTATTTCATCATTGTTATTTGTCCATTACGTCTCATACACACGTATAGACACAGGCATGAATATGCGTTATTAAGCATACGAAGATGTATTTTTACGCGTGTGAAGGATTTGAATTTAAATACTGGATGAGAATTTAAAATCTTCGGTTTTATTGTATGCATACATGCATGCATACATACATAAATACATACATATATATATATATATATATATATATATATATATATATATATATATATATATATATATATATATATATATATATTTCTTAATAATATAAACTTCATTTTTAGTGTATACACGTATTTGTGTTGCTACCTCTTTTTGTATTTTTATTGAAGTGAAATTGATAACAACCAACCTAACAATGAAAAAAAAAAACAACAAAAAACAAAAACAAAAAAACAAAACAAAAAACAGGGATATCAACTCAAATATGTGTAACCACGAACGTTTATAGTCATAAGAAATAATGGTGGATAAAATAATATCCATTTATATGTATAATATAATATAATATAATATAATATAATATAATATATAGCATATTATATATATATATATGAAATTAGGATAGATTTGTTGCATGTGAATTATATATATATATGACTGAATAGTCTAATCGTGAGTGGAAAGTTCTCACAAAAAATGAAAAATTGTAAAAACACTAGAAAAACTGAATAAAAAGTTAAAAAAATACTACTTGTCCGTTGTATGCGAATAAACATTTATAAAACAAGTAACATATATATATATATATATATATATATATATATATATATATATATATATTGTGTATTTAGGCAGAAATCCCTCTTTTATACAAGTTTCATTAATGATGACTGATAAGTTACTGCGTTTAAAAATTAAATAAAATGCTTATTCGAAATACCTTGTCGTTTTTTATGAATGTTATATATATATATATATATATATATATATATATATATATATATATAGAGAGAGAGAGAGAGAGATAGAGATAGGGATAGATAGATATAAAGATAGAGAGAGGAGAAATATAGATGATAATGTTTTGTAATTTTTTTTTTTTTCATTCTTCAGGTTCAGTTCAAATATATCTAAAAATATTTTATATTAAATATTTTCTTGCCATTCTTCTCAAATTTGTTGCCAATCTACAAATAAATTCTTATTTAGTTGTTTTTTCCTCAACGATGGAATTAATAATTTGAAAAAGAAAAAAAAAACAGGTAATTATTTTATAGAAAATAAATAAAACAAATAAATTTAGTAAATTATGAAAAAAAATACGTAAGATAAATTAAAATTCATTAATTATTAAGGCGCAAAGCATTTTTTCTACTCACCATATTGGTCTGACTTGGTTGAATTAATGTCCAGGAACAGACGCTTCAAAATGCTTTTTAAGTCGTTTTCTGTTGGGAGCTTCTTTTATACCGAGTCGTCTGCGTTTCTATCGGCCTGCCTCCCTACTCTTTTATTATATTGGTTTCTTGCGGATTCTGCGTCTGCTGTTGCTGCTGCTGCTGCTGTTGCTGCCGTCACTGATAGTGTTGCTACTACAGACGATGCCGGGTTGAAGATGCCGATGATGATGCGATGGCGTGGTCGACTTGTTAATTAGAATGACGCTACTGCTGATATTTCTTAACATTTGAAAGTGACTCTCTTGTAAAAGAGCCAAAAATAGAAAATCGAGGGCGATGGAAGAAAAGGACGAAAACGAAGGGAATTCTATGTTTCTAGTTTTTCTTTCTTTCTTTTTTTCGATTTTATTTTTCAGTCAATCGCAGCGCTTAGTCTCAAACCGGTGAATTTGATCTTGCGTCGATTTTGACCTGATCATTGTACGCAGTGCCATTGACGAGACGATTCGTTTACGAAAACGCTGATTCTATGTAGATTGACATTTTTTTTTTTGTAAATGCGTGGCAATAATTCATGAACAATGATATTGGCAACGTTATAGGTTCAAGTTTAATCAATTTATACCTATTTTTCTGTGTAGATGTTCATGTATTTGGATGCGACAGAATATATAAGTTTGCATGTAGATATAATGCTAATAGATAATTAGGTGTTTTCATGTGAGCCATTATGCAAGGTAGGCGTATAACACTTTATAAAACTTGTTCATGAACCTTCTTCTATATGCCGTATAGGCAAACATAGCTCTCCACTGCTTCCTATCATGTGTGGTTCTTAGAAGTTTTTCTATCCTTTACTGAAGCTACCCAACCCCTCGTTCCAGCATCCATTCACACATGCTCGTCAGGTAAGTGGCTCACTGTCTTCCCTTATCTTTCTTGCCCTCAGTATGCCCCGTGTGGGTAAAGTTTTTCAAACCCTCTTTCCTCATTAAGTGTCCATGTAATTTCTTTTTTTTTGATTCAGAGTATTAGCATTCTTTCTGTTACCATTTTTTAAAATACTTCCTTGCTGCTTACTTGCTCCATCCTTGGAATTTTCAGTGTCCTTGTGTTGAACCATAATTCTGCTGTCTGTAGTTATTTTCTCTATCCATGGGAAGATTTGTTGAGCGAAAACAGAAATAAACAGCAAGACAGTTGAACGTCAAATGACAAAAAATGGTTTCTGAGTCGGAGTATCTGCGCATGCTTCTGGTTAGTAAATTAATCCTTTGTAAATAAATACTTGACATTTTTCAGCCAATGGGTCGCGTTCTCGCCGATAAAAAAAACAAAAAAAAAAAAACACGCTTCGTGATCCTTTTGAAGTGTATTTAAGTAAAGTATCTAGACGGACAAAACCAGTAAGGAGAAGGAGAGGCAACATCAGACATGAGTTCACGATACTACAGCTTAAAAGAGTGAATCTGTTCATTCACCCATCTTTCTCACCGAGCTACGTGCCACTTACACTCTTCCTTACCAAGTCATGTAACATTTACACTCTTCTTCATAATGCTACGTGACACTTATACTCTTGCTCGCAAAGCTACGTGACACTTACACTTTCCTCCTCGCTTTCTCCATTACCTCTTTTCTCACAGACACGCGAAAAAAATCACATTTCTTTTCATCTTAGCAAACAACTACAAGCAAAGACTGTAAGAACGCTCATATACGCTGAGAAAAATTTAGTTGCGAAAACAGGAAAATAAAAATATTTTATATTTTTATATTTAAAAACCTTTCTCGCCTTTTTCTTTGTTGGTGGTTGATTCAAATCTGCAACAGATTGTCCAAGAGGATGGATATCACATAGAAATCCAGCACAGGTTTTCTTGTTGCCAGCGAATTTTTTTCAGTTCTCATCATCTTGCTTTTAGAATGTTTCTTTCGCTAGTCCAATCGTGACCCTTACTACTACTATTACTAGCAATAATAATAATAATAGCTATTGCCGTACTTGTTATCATTATTATTTGATCCTTTAGTAATTAGTCTATTGGTCTTAGCATAAACATTTGCACACATTTCATGAATCTTTACAGCATTTTTGTATAGCCTTACTAAAAGAATCAAATTCGTTTGATCTTATTGTCATTTTATTTTAAAGAAAGTGTTGCTTATTCGACCTAGACCACTGCTACGATTGCTAATACAGCTAGTATTTTCTTTTGTTTACTATTGGTTTATACTGGGGTGATGAGGGACTTCAGGGAGTGAAATTTGGACGGGGCATCTTTGGCATGCCGTATCCTCACACAGGAGTTAACCATTAACCAATGATGGTTTACTAAGGGCATAGTTATCGCCCCCGCTGTAAGTGTAGCTATGTTTATCCTCATTTTAGATGGGAGAAGTTGCTCATCCCCGGGGATTCCAAACCTGCAGCAGCACCTTCCTCATCGCACTAAAGAGGTTGGGTCGGTGTAATACTGACGCCAACGTGACAGTAATCGCGGAGGATGGGCAAAAAAAAAAATGTCCATGCGTAAGTATGCGTATGGCACTGTCCACGGTAAAAGGACCTTGTGTCACATCCAGCCTTAGTGGGAAGACCGAGTAAATGTGTCTGGCATGACGTATCTGGTTCCTTTTGGCTGGGTGGGCGAGGTTCCGGGGGGGTTGAGGGACAGAGTGGTTTTCTTGTATTGTTTTCTTGCTCAATTTTATTCTGTTTGTTCCGTACTTGATTTTCTTTATTTTTGAATAGGTAGATGTATGTTTTGTCTTAGTCTAGGGCAGTCTAACCAAAATGTGGACTTGTTTATACGTCGTTATATTTCTTGTACATTCACAAAAAAAATTAAAATACTGGTCATCGTGATTTGCTTACTTAACAGTCTTTTAAGGGGAGAGATTGATATTGGAAGAAGGAAAAAAATGAAGGGGTTAAGGGAGTGAAATTTAGACAAAGCATCTTTCGGGTACCATATTTGATTCCTTTTCGTAAATGGTCGGGTAACGTGGACGAATTTCATTGGAGGAGAAGATCGAAGCTTTATACAGGTTTCTTCTTTAATTTAATTTAATTTAATTTATTCTGCAGCTGATTTTATTTATTTAAGTGCATTAATTTTTGAATTGCTCAGCCATTCAGTTATGTGCTATGCGTGATACACGCTTAGGCGATCATGTATCTTTCGATACATGACTGACGAGGCAGATTTTTTCCCCGCAATATGTTGTTATTTCTTGCTACGGTAGACCAGTTCCCATTCAATGTCCTGCAATTTGCCCATAACTGGGGAGTGGGGGAGAAGAAGAAGATTCCTACCTTTCCCAAGGGTATTAGCACGTAAGTGAACGGATTTGACTGGAATTCGAACTCGGCTCTCCGATTCCTCAATCCAAGCTGCTATCCATCACTCCACCGTATGCATATTATGGCTTGTAATCATCTTTTGCAAGCGTAAACAGTCTGACTAACATTTGGATTTATTTGTACGTATATCTTGCCATACATCTTCTACATTGTCTTTTTCTTACAAAAAAGGCTCAAATATTGTTTATTCTCTGATCTTTTTTATTTTAATAGAGGATATTTGAACTTGGTATAAGTTAAAACTTAATAGATAATATCATACTATCAGTTCTATAACTAACTCTACCCTAACGCATATATTTCGTATCCGTAATTTTAGTTACTATTTATTTACTTTATTCCTGCTTGGGATTGGCTTTCCGGTTCCTTCTAAAGTCGTCTTCAACTCTATACTTCTAACGTCTCCGCCTGAACTCCAAAAATTCTATTCATTAATTATTATTTTTTTCTTCTCTTAACTGGAGTAAATAGTTTCATCTAGCATCCGAACCACACCCCTTCCTAGTTCAAATCTATACATTTAACGTCTTCTCTGAATTGTATTCACTAATTATTTTTCCTTCTTCTCTCACAAAAGGAGTAGATAGATTTGATTATTGCCCGGTTCAATTTTGAACCGCAGTTGAGTTTTATCCCTTGTTTCCTGCTTAGGATCATGTTGTGACCAAGTAAATGGTTAAAGACATAACAAAAGAAGTGTTACAGATATATCATATATTAAACAGTAAGTACAACAGAAGAGTATTACACGACTAGTGAGTGTATGTCGGTTGACACAGCGTTCAATCTATTCGACTGTTAATATTTAACAGCCCCCCACCCCGAGGGATGGCCAAAAATATTCCCTGAGAACCCGTATAAACGGGTTCAGGGCCTGTCTACCTCCGCGAACGAAACTTTGTCCTGCGGCAAAGCCTCGTCCGGGTTCCTCTCTGCTCAAGGTAGAGAGTTTGACAGTAATGAACAATCTGGTTGACTGTTAATATTTAACAGCCCACCCCCACGAGGGTGTATGTGGCAGAAGGCCGAGTTTACCGTGGGTTCTCCGAGCCCGTCCAGGTTCCTATCTGCCGAGGCAGAGAGTTCGACAGTTACGAACAGTTTGGTCGACTGTTAATATTTAACAGCCCCCCCCTCCACGAGGGATGTATGTGGCACAAGGCCGAGTTTAACGTGGGTTTCCCGAGCCCGTAGGCTCGGCCAAAAATATTCTCTTTGAACCCGCCTAAACGGGTTCAGAGCCTGTCTACCTCCCCGGACGAAACTTTCCCCTGCGGCAAAACTTCGTCCGAGTTCCTCTCTGCTGAGGCAGAGAGTTCAACAGAAATGAACAGTTTAGTCGACCGTTTCCCCATGGCCTTCTCTCCTACTAATCTTATAGTAGGCGGAAGAGTCCAACATAGATTCTTTAGAGGGAGGACACCACAACAGATCAGGTTTTCGACTCCTTCTAACGTCTATTTCACATCATACTTCTAACATCTCCGACTGTACTCTGAAATGTTATTCTTCAATTAAATCTTGTCCTCTTCAAGTCTTGAGTTAGCCGTTATATTTCCTGCATAGCTCCAAGAACTTCACTTCTTGTCCTTTCTTAAGCTAATACAACATCACG